TGAGGCCAATGCCGATTGAGTATAACATTACACATAATGTCATGACTTTATTCTGTGACAACTTGAGTGCCATCAATATTTCAAAGAATCCTATTCAGCATAGTAGGACCAAACGTATTGACATCAGACACCATTTCATCAGAAATCTTGTGGAAGACAAAGTTGTAACATTAGAGCATGTTGCCACAGAGAACTAAATTGGTGTGGTAATATTATTCGAATAAGTGTATGTGTGTTCCCACCAAACATAGAGAGGTCTTCAAAACCATCCTTCATTTGTAGCATGATTTTTCAACAATATGCTGAAGAGAGGTTGATGATGACCTTTATGGGGAAAATGAAGAGGAAGAGGATGATGAGGCTACTGAAGATGATATTTGATTGTAGCTTTATTGTTTTGTTTTTGTGGTTTTATGTTTTGTAAGGGCTGAACACCCAGGATTTTTTTTTGGCACTTGATGTGCTGATGTTTTTGTACCTTTGAAATCTTGTGTTTATGGTATTACTATTTGTTTAGTTAGTTATCTACCTTTGTCATATTATGGCTAAAAAGAGGGAGTAATACTAACTTAACTAACTGCTAACCACTTTCTGCTGCTGACTGCTGATTTTTGAGGGGGAGAGTTATATTCTTTTGCTGCAGAAGAAGGAACTAATTGAGGGGGGATTTAGAGTGATTTATTTTGATTATTCTGGTGCTGTTCTGATTTTTGGCCTCTGACTTTGTATTTCTGCTTGCAAGGGTTATTTAGTTAGTTTTAGCCAAAATCTTCCAAATGGGGAGATTGATGAGTCCAAGCTTTTGAGGTTGGCATCAATTTTGGTAAAACTAACTTGACAGCTAGATGTTGGACAAGATGTCCTAACATGAAGAACTAACTGAAGATCAAGATGTTTGACAAGATGTCCTAACATGAAGAACTAACTGAAGATCAAAATGTTGGATAAGATGTCTTATCATGATGATTCGACATCTTTGTCTGTTACTTTTTAGTTTTAATTCTATTTGGTTTTTTAGTTCTAGATTTCAGATTATTCTGGGATTATTTGTTTTTCCTAGGTGGCGTTCAAAGTTGAGGAATCAGAGATTCTGATTATAATTTGAAGATACCATTTCAAAGTGTCGAGACACTTTAGGAAACTTTGGGTTAAAGAAACTATTCTTGAGGAGAATAAGTTTCAGATTATGTGTAACAAAATTGCTGCATTTTTGAATCCAAAATCCAGTCTAGTTTATGGTTATAAATAGGATGGGTTTAACCTAAGAAAAGTATGAAAAAATACTTTGTTGCTTAATGTGTTTAGGGTTTGTATTTTGTGAGCCTTTCTTATTTCGTGTTGATACTTGAGCTGGACTGTTTACATTGAGTTGTAATTTCTGTCACTGCTGTGATTGAAAGGGAATTGAGAAGGGAAAAGTTTTAGGTAGAAATTAAGCACGAGTAGTGATTAAGTGATAAGTTATGAACCGGAGGTTGTTTAGCTTAGAATTAATACTATCTAGTGGATTTCATTCCTGGCTTGGTAGCCCCTAGACGTAGGTGTTGTTGTTCATCGAACTGGGTTAACAATTACTATGTGTTTGTTTACTTTCTGCAATATGTATCCTGTTCCTTACTATCATTGTGTTTAAAGTAGAGATCAAGTGTCTCGACATCTCTCAGGACATCTAAGATCTGCTACCAGAATTTCAAGATTTTTTCCCCTTCCCTCTTTTAGGATAAATTAAAAGTTCACATTTGGGGTGACCTCGAAAATTGCACGACAATAATATGTGACCCCATATCCTTGAATTCTACATGCTTTACCAATATCTATAAATTTTGGTAGTTCACAAACTTAGTTCTATACTTTACCTGGTGACAATCGAGGTGGAGGCAAATATGTTACTTGCTCGTCTTTTATAAATCAATTGTGTTTCTTCTATAGGGATGATTTCTTGGTAGGAATCTGCGGTGACAGTCAAACCACAAACTTTTCCCCCCTTTTTCCAACGTAAATTCCTTGGCGTTTCCCATGCAATGCGGACATCCCATTTTTCCATGCGTACCCCAACCAGACAACATGCCATATGCTAGAAAGTCGTTAATAGACCACATCAAGGCAGCTTGCATAATAAAATTTTGTTTACATGATATATCATAAGTCAATTCTCCAATCCATAACCTCTTTAAATCATCAATTAAAGGTTGTAAGTACACATCGATTCCAGCTTTTAGACTCGATGGTCCTGAAATGAGGCAGGTCAAAAACATGTATGATTTTTGTAATGCACGTCTCAAGAGGGAGGTTGTAAGGGGTTACAATAATTGACCAACAAGAATATCCGCTTCCCGACACTTTGACATATGGAGTAAAACCATCAGAGCATAATCCAAGCCTGACATTTCTAGATTCTGCAGAAAAATCAATATGTATCTTATCAAAGTGCTTCCATGCCTCGCTATCAGATGGATGTTGCATAGTGCCTGAACTTGTTTTGTTTGTATGATGTCATGTCATTTGACTTGCACTATGCATTGAAGCAAACATTATTTTTAACCTTGGTATTATCGGAAGATAAAACATGGACTTCACAGCTACATGTTTTTTGTTACAGTTAATGGCTTTATTGTGAACTTGATATCTTGGACTCTTACAAAACTTACATTTCTCCAACGCTCCATCACTAGTATCAAACTCATTGTCATAAAACAACATGCAACCACTAATGCAACAATCAAACTTTCTTACTTCTAAACCTAACTTCGACACCAACTTCTTTTCAACATAAAAACTTGAAGGCAAGTTGTCTTTTATAGGAGTCGTGTCGAGCATCATGTTTGTGAAGAATTCCAAACACTGATCAGGAACATTCCAATTTAACTTGGCGGCCAGTAATTTCACACACATTGATAATTTTGAGTCCGGCGACCCCTTAAACAATAACGTATTCATCTCACTCAACAATTGATAAAATCTTTGTGCTTCCTCATTCGACAGCTCTTCCCCATCAAAATCTCCAAGTTCATCATATGTCACGTTGACACCAAAAACATCGTCCACCATCTCACTAATCAGATTAAAGTTTTTCCCATGCTCCATCGGTGATTGACTACTTGAAGCATGCATATTATTGGTCCCTGGTACATTACTCGGTAGTTATTCTTCATTATATGTCTAAACCCAATAATTTTCAATGAAACTCCTTCTCTTCAAATGACGTTCTACTTCCTATGGGTCACTAATTGTAGGTCTACATTCACATTTAAAATAAGGACATCTAACTCTTCCTTCGCTTTGACAACATTCTTAAGAAAATGCCCACGTGATAACCATTTAACTCCTTCCTCAAAATTTGGTTAAAGTCTGTGTCTTCCTAGATATAACCTATCGTACATCCAACTACGATAATACTGATAATACTCCATACTGCACATTTATACAATCATTGCCTTTTTAATTACAAATGTGATTTTAATATATCAACCAATTTCAGGAATTTTGATAAAACATTAACTACAAGTATGAACTAACTTAATATTATTCTTAAACATAAACTTATATTAACTAGAAACTACTTTTCATACAAACAAATTTTCTACTATTTTATCATTATTCTTAATATATATAACTACAAATAAATATCATACTATTTTTTTTATAAACTTATATAATAAACTATTTAAGATAAACATAAATATTTTGTTTTTGTTTTAACTAAACATTTAATGAACATATAATAATTTATGTTTTTAATAAGTAACCATTATGTTCTATTTTAAAAAGTATATAATTAATAGACATATAACATAACATATAATACATATAATTAATAACCATATATTTTTTTAAAAATTTATGAGTTAAAAAAAATTATTTCACACCATTTTTTTAATTAACATATTATTCTATAAATATACATAAAATATAACTATATTTTATTTCACTTTGTTTTAAATATACATATATAATATATTATATTTTTAATAAGTATTTTGTATAAAAAAATGATTTATGTATATGTATATATATATATATATATATATATATATATATATATATATATATATATATATATATATATATATATATATATATATATATATATATATATATATATATATATATATATATATATATATATATATATATTCACTACTAGAAATATTCTATTTTTCTGCGGATTTTGACAAATTTTCCGCAAGAAACATATTACCTGCGACTTTTCCTGCTATTTTCTGTTCTCAGCTAAAACCTTCGTGGATAATTTAATTACCAGGTAGAGTCGCAGGAAAATATCGCAGGAAAAAGTCGCAGGTAAATTCACAAGTAAAGTAGATAAATTCGCAAATAAGACCGCTGGTAATTGCAATTTTCGCAGGAAATGTCGCAGCAAATACTAAAGTCGCAGGTAAAATCGCAAGTAATTTCTCTCTGAGGTTTTTAGTTTTTATCATTAATTGTTTTTAATGCATATTTAAAATATCATAATAATTGTTAAATATCAAAGTAACAATAATATTAAAATAAAAATCTAATTTAATTTCTTAATATTTTTTATTATAGAAATAGCTGATTCATAAAAAAGTTAATGTATTTTTTTTCTAAAATAATATTTACATAAATGTGCAAATATGTTCAAGTAATATTACTTCCCAAAAGTTGAGTTTATAATAGGCTCCTTTGGTTTATGTCCTTAACACTTGAATACATTATGTGTAAGGAACAATGATCATATCCAACTAGTGATTTAAAACAAAGCAACAATAGAGTAAACTTGGCAAATAATCAAATGGTAGACAGAATGAGTAAAACTTTTGAGATGAACTTTCATTTCTCAAAGGGGTCACGTGAATAAAGGATTCTTAAAAACATTACACAGAATCAAATCTACAAGGCACATTCATATGAACATTTCTGAATGTTTGGCTATAATGTTACACAAGCAACCATAACAAACACAGAAAGCAATCCTAAAACCATTACACAGAAGAAAGCAGAAAACTGAAATTGGATAGCTAAATCAAAGCATCAACCATTGAGCAATTAAGAAAGCGACCGACTTTAGCTATGGCAAACCCGATTATTCGAGATGTTGCGGCAGACTCATCCTTTGCTCTGGCCAGATTCTCTATGATAAGAGTCTCTTTCTCACATACTGCTTTCAGCTTCTCATTCAGTTCATTCTTCAGCGCTTCACATTCTTCCAACTCAAGCTCAGACTGTTCCACAAGCTTCCTATTCTTAGCTAATTTAGTGTTGACAAAATGCATACTACTTATAAATGCTTGATAAGAATATTTTAAGCAAAATTCTATCATGGTATAACAGGGAAACTTGTTAAAGGGATTACTTAGTCAAAGAGTCAGGGATGTTATAAAGACAAACATTTTTACCTTAACTTCATAATTTGGGTATTGGCCAAGTGCATCAAGGAGACAATGAGTTGCAAGCTTTGCAATCCAACGTGCAACAACAACCATTCCACATGTGCATATCCTAAACATAATTTGGGTCCTTTCAGTTGTACGTTGTCCGTACCACCAAATACAATGTCAACAAAATAGTTCCCCTGCAAAAGTATAATTCATAAACTAGCATTTAAAACCAAAAACTATCAGTGCTTTAAGTCAAACTTAACTTTTTTTAGCATTTAAACTAGCATTTGAGAACTACACTAACTAGTAATAAACACATTCAGAGATGATTTTGTAATTTAGATACATTGAAAAGTTATAATAACACCACCTAACATATTCAAAAACTCAAATGATTATCTAATCACTTATAAAACCTTAGAAACAACTTAATATTAGAAAATACATATTAAAAATTACATAATAAAGTTATATAAACATCGGCTCACCTTAACTCGATCATAAGTCGTTTTAAGCTAGCAACTAACAATACTAATACTAGCAATTTAAAGAAAAAATTGTATAATTTCTTCACTTCAAGACTTAAAAGGTTGTATTAGTATTATCAGAGTTAGTAAGAGAGATAAGCATAGTTAAATATGGAGAATAGTTAGGTGAATAAATATGACAAACAGATGGAGTGCATGATTTGACCGGAAGAAAATGAAGACTTTGAAGACTTTCAATATTATCCTATAGGAACAAATCCAAATATCTTCTTTGGAACAAATCTAACATCTTAGCCTTAGGAAGACTTTGAAGAGTTTCAATATAATCCTATAGGAAAAAATGAATCAAATTAATTGAAATTTTTGCATGATTTTAATCAGTTAAGTATGAATGTACCATAATTTCAATAGCTTCATGAGAAATATCAACATCTTTGCCCCAAAGTTTCCTTAAAGCTAGTTGAAACTCTTTTTCACGACCAACATTTGCCTGAAAAATCATGAAAATGTCATAAGATGTTTTCATAAGCTCTCTTATAAAAGTCTCGCAAGTTATTTGTATTAGTAGGTAAGCGCAAAAAGTTAACCCAAACAAACGATAGCTTAATCCTTACCAGCCATCGAGGAGACTCGGGAATGAAGCACAAACCAACCAACAAACAAATGCAAGGCACTAGTCCTTCAATATTTTAAGCCAAACCAAATTAACAGTTAGTTGTTAGTTTATCTCTAATCTGTTATATCCTCGAGCCAAAAATTCAAAACCATTTTTATGAATTGAATGCTACCTGCTAGTACTAATTGTCTCCAATTTATGAGACTTCCTAATCAAAATGACACCGATGATCTAATAACAATCATAAGCTGCAAGACAGTCATTTAGTCACTGCTAAAATCCAATTCAATTATACTTAATTAGCCAAAAGATATACATTTTTTTATATATATTTCACCTGATTTGTTGTTGCAAGCATTCCTCTAAGATTTTTTGGTGCTATTTCTGCTATATATACAGGAACCTGGCCCATTTTGCTGATTTTTGTTAGAAACATTACAATATTACAAAACTAACCAAATTTTGTAACCAAAATGTTCCATTGTTTTGTGTTCATAAATGAATTAATTACCACATATGAGATAACTCCAATTCCATATCCTGTAAATAACCTTCCTATGTCAAGTGTAGAAGAACCCTGCATTGCATTAGAAGATGGTTTTTTCTTTTTTTGCCACAATCGTTTAATTAGAAGATGATGAACACATACATACCTTAGAGAAGAAAACAACTAACCATCCTGTAATGCAAAATCCTGTTGAAATTCTCATTGCCTGTTTGATTGTTGTTTACGCAACTTTATATTTTTGTGTGTCAAAATCTTAAACGACAGAGTTAAATGTGACATACATAGTACATACCCTTTTTCTTCCAATGAAATCAGTAATTCTACCACTTGTTATGGCTCCAAGCATTGCACCAATGGTCGGTCACCAAAGAACCAAACATTGAAAACTGCAAATCCAAATAATTCAGTTATTAAAAGTATAAAGTTAATTGAAAAGAATGATATTCTTTCAAATGATATAAAATAGGAAGAAAAAAAATAGTATAGTAATTACTTGAGAAAGAGATAGATTAAGATCTTCCCTTATAGCAGCTTGAGTAGGTGCTGAATAACCCACCTAATAACAAAAATAATAACTTGAGCATTAAGCAGTGTCGTCTTTAAGGACGTGCAAAACGGACTATCATACAGGACTCATGCCTAAAAAGAGCCTCAATTTGTTTTAATTATAATAACTCTACACGGAGCCTTCAAAAATTTAAGAGAACGTCATTTTAAGTTTAGTTAGGTTGTTTACTCTAATACACACAAATAATAAAAAAAGAGTATACTTACACAAGTTCCAAATGAAAAAGAGCCATAAACAGCAACAACTGTGCTAAGCAGAACCATTCCAATGGATCCATTTTCCACACTTTTATGATCTGATTCAACTTTTTCACATGCATCACCATCTTTTTGAATGAATGGCTCTTGCATATTATACTTCACCACACTAATTTCTCCATTCTCAACATCTTCCATTGTCATTTTCTAATTAGTACCAATACAACACTATTTTCTACAAGTTAAGAGTTGTGAAAGACAACATGTAATAGCATTGACATTTATACTGCATGTACAAGTCCAAAACTACTTTTACATGTTGACAATTTTGTCCTCATACTTGCATTGGAAAATATAGGTAGAGGAAAGGGCATGTCATGGTAACAAAAAACCATGTGTGTGAAATAAAGCTGTCAATGGCATGTCATAGAGTTAGTCATATTAAATAACCATATATTATAATATTATTAACCCTTGTGAATAATGTAAGTATGGCATCGTACTTATTATAATATTTTACCTAGATTTTTAATATTCCAAGTACCTAGAATATTTATAACCTAGACAGTCCCTCAGGTCCACTTTTCTATTACGACGAGGACCCAAATTTAAATATTATTACATTTAGAGAGGAGTTTGTACATTTAAAGTGTGAATAGTTACATGTATCAGCGGGAGTTCAAAATAAAGAAACCTCTGCAACTTTAGCTTCAAGTTCTGGAGTAAGATGATCTTCTAAAGTAATAATGACATGTAATAAAGTAATAATGAAATGTAATAAAGTAATAATAACATGTCAAACTTGCTGAAGGTTTCTTTCTCTACTTTAACATTCTAACCAATACATGCTAAATAAATGTCGTATATGAATGTTAACACTACAGACCAAGAAATGCTACTAGCATTTAAACAAAGGATTTTACATGAGTGTAAAATGATATCTTCTCATTACTAATTTTACAGATTCAAAACTTAAACTCCATCCTAATCAATCTTAGTCATTATTTCTACACTTGAATAGTGAACATAAATCATACACAAAATTATCATTATTTCACTTATCATAAACATATCCATAATTCAAACCAATTCAACACTGCTATAAAATTAATATAAGTAAATCTAAACAGACCCTAATTCTTATAAAAATTGATGACCAATATACTTGTAATGCATACCCTAATTCTTATAAAAAGTTGTGTGTTTGTGTCTTTGTCGGACACAGGTGAATCTAAATAAGCCACACAAATTCAAAGGTGAATCTAACAATGCAAAATGCAAATGTTACTATGTTTATTCTGAATCAATTTTGCATGTGTTATGTGATGTAGATCATTGTTTGTCAGTTAGTTTCCAGAAAAGCATACAATTACAAATGAATCAACTGAATAATGTGTTCTTAGAGTAATGATAAAAAATTTAGGGTTTTCAACAGAATTTGGGGATTTTTAGATTAGGAGTGAAACTGATTAATTAGGGAAAAAGAATATTCACCCTTGGAGGAGATGAAGCTCGCGGCGGTCTGAGGAAAACCGACACGGTGGTTTCGTTTCAAACAGCTCCATTTCAACACTGATTAAAAAGAAAATGGATGAGCTCGACACAGAGAAGGAAAAAAAGAGGAGAAGACGACCTAAATATATAATGGCCAGAAAAATCACCTCCGTGACGAAAAAGTGGCGGCCGAAACGAGAAACAGTGGTCAGAATGGTGAAGGAAGAGTGGCGGCCGCGAAAGGGTTTCAGAGAAAGCAAGGTTTGTCTCCTCTCCCTTATGTGTTCTCCCTTATGTGTTCACGTGGGAGTATTAGGAAAATAAAATATGTCTTAAATAAGAAAATAATATGTACTAAAATTATATTAAAGAAAATAAATAAAAAATATTTTTTTGACAAAATTTAAACAAAAATTATTACTATTCAATAAAGCAAAAAAAAAATTGTTGTGAAAATTATTTTAAAATAGATTTTTTTTTATATTATATATATAAATCTAAAAAATTAATATGTCAATTATATTTTACAATTTTATTTAATAATAATAAAAATAAAATTAAATAAATAGACTTATATTTTTATAATTATATCATCAACTTATATTTTTTATTTTTCTAATTTTTACAACAATAAAAAATTATTAAATAAATCAACTTATATTTTACAATTATATCATAAACTTATATTTTTGATTTTTCTAATTTTTCAACAATAAAAAAGTATTAAATAAATAATTTTTTTAAAAAAATAACTATAAAAAACTCAATTAATTAAGATTTAATATTATAAAACTTTCTTAGCAAAAACTAAAATTTAATATAAAATTAAAAAATGTCTCAACAAATATTCTTGTTTTATAATTTTATGTATTAATAGTAAAAATAAAACAAAAATTAAAAATAAACTAAACAATCGCAGCAAAGTCGCAGAAACATTTACAGCAAATTCCGCAGCAAACTCGCAGCAATTCCTGTGAAAACTATCGCAGTTAAATCCGTAGGAAACTTATATTTTACTTTTAAATCTATAATCGCAGCTAAAGTCTCAGGAATCCTTCGAAATTTGCTGCAACTTTAGTTTTCGTAGGAAATAATATTTCACGATATAAAGGCGCAGGAAAAGTCGCAGGTATAGCTGCGAAATATTTTCGGCAGGAAAATCCGCAGGTAATCTGTGTATTTCTAGAAGTGATTATTTTATTCATATGGTATATAATTAAAATATTAAAAACAGAATATATTATATAAGCAAAATATT